CTCACACTCACATTGGCACACTCATGGATGCTCTCGCATGAAGACAAAGCTCCCCCGTATAGCCTTTACAGATTGTTGAGTCAAGTGCTGTGAGCATGCACCTATGAAAGCCGGAACGGTACACAAGGGGGTCGGTAGCCAGCATCACGCCCAGCTTCGTTTGTCTCTCCAGTGGCGATGCTTACACACTGCATTAGTTACTCATTTTATGGTGAGTCTACCTAGGGGGAGGCCCAGGACAGGCTCAGATAATCGTCATTGGTGTTGGTCGCAAGCGGGAATCGAACTGGGGTCATCGTGTTAGTAGCACAGTGCGCTAACCACTCCCCCACCACTCCCCCACCACTCCCCAACACTTGCATGCATGCATCCACAAACACATTTTCACACACACGCACGCGCACACACACACACACAGACTCGGTAACATAGCCACACGTTAACCACATGCGGCTGTGTCGCTGTATAGGGGTGCGTCATAGTTCCACTCTGTGCTGTGTTGTGTGCAGTGCTCTACCGAAAAGGACCACCCTTTTACCACGCTAGGTGAGCGTCTCCTGAAGCGTATGTGCGATCTGTGTGTTTGAGAGCGTGTCCATTGTGGGGAGCGGTGTCGCAGTGATTAACGCACAAATCGAGAGACCCGAGTTCCATTCCCGCTCATAACCAATAACAGTAGCGAATGTATTGAACCGGTCCTGTGCCTCTCTCGGGTCATCTCGGCCTTAAATGAGTACCTGGTGCGATGTGTAAACATCAGTATTGGGGAGACAAAAGTGACTGCACATAGTGTTGGCCACCCACCCCCTCGTGTGCCTTGCCAAGCGTAATATGTGCTCGAGAACAGCACTTGCCCCTACAGTCGGTTAAAGGCTATACGGGGGATTTTTGTCATCGTGTATTTATACGTGTGTATGCATGAGTCTTCATGTGTGCATACGTGTTCGCGTGCCTGCTCGCGCCCATGCCCGCTCACATCCATCCCCCCCCCTTCCCTGATGTGCCGTGGCCGTGGTCACAGCTACTCGGTGGTGGTGGAGATGGTGGACGGTGCCAATTTCCGCGGTGACGCCCTCCGAACCTTCAGCTGGCGCTCGCTCGCGGGCCTCAACCGGACGACCATGAACGTGTCCAAGGTGGCGGCCGGGTGTTAATTGAATTTATGAACTTGGCGGGTGAAAATATTTTTCAGCGAAGTATTTTTTTTTTACTTCGTCGCTTGTTGTAGAGGTTCGCGGTTTGAATCCAGCAGCCGCCCAGGTTAATACTGTGATGTGCACTAACCACACATGTGCGCCGTCTGCTTAACAGCGGACGTTAAAAGAGTCAATGACATTTGAAAAATAATCGTCCGTTGTGTGCTCGGCTTCATGGTCCAAATAAAAAAATTACTCGCAAATTACTTAATTGGGTGAAATCGCATCAGAACATCGCGCCCTACTGGCAGACTTATACCTGTCTGTGAAACGTAGCACCTCCGTGATTGACTTACACAATAACAATAGGGCAAACGCCAATAATAACATTTGTTATCATCACTGGTAGATGGCGACGGCTTGGGGAGGTCTTCATCCAATAGTGGATAGATCATGGCTGCTTATGGCCGATGATGGTGACGATGATGATGATGTGATTCTGTGTGTGTGTGCAGGAGCTGCTGCTGTGTTTCGTGGTGCGTCCCGCGGGCCTGACGGAGGAGGAGCTCTCTTCTCCCGAGTGTCTGCGCCGCTTGCGCGTGCAGGTACCGCGTACGCGCAGCGCCACACGCATGCGCCACATCAAAGACAAAGACCCCCCGTATAGCCTTAACAGACTGTTGGGGCAAGTGCTGCTAGCGAGCGCCTATGAAGGCTGGTACGGCACACGACGTGATGGGTGGCCATCACCATGCCTGACCGCCTTTGTCTCCCTAGTGGTGATGTTTACTACACACCGCACCAGGTACTCAATTGAGGCTTAATCGACCTAGGGGAGGCTTAGGACTGGTTCAGATAATTGTCAATGGTGTTGGTGGCTGTGAGCAGGAATCGAACCTGTGCACATGTGCCAACTGTGCGCATGAACATCACGGTGCCGCACACACCCACAGCTCTGAGATCAAAAATAATATAGTGGGAATGGAAAACGAGGTTATAAGCTTCAAAAAATTATTCTAAATTTTTTTTGTTATTTACTTGCCTTTGCTGACGGAATACCTTCCTATGCCGTCATTTGGGATTGTTTGACTATACTTCACCACGCTGGTTCAATGCAGTGTGGTGAAGGGTGACGGTGCCTTAGACAAATTCATCACTCGCCAGTGATGTTAGCCTCGGCCGGGAATCGAACTCGAGTTTAGTTCGAATCTTGCACAATGAGCTAACCACTGCATTACCACTCCCCAGTACCATACCATGAGAGTAGCATGTGGAAAATCTTTGGCCATGGTTTTTTTGACCTAGGTCAGGGGTCGGCAACCAAAATAACAAGAAGAGCCATTTCTTTCCAATTCGGTACAAAATTCAGTATTTCAAGAGCCGCAATGCATCTGAGTACATACTGTACATACGTACATATCGTCAAGAAGCAGCACGTAAAGAGCCGCATGCGGCTCCGGAGCTGTAGGTTGCCGACCCCTGACCTAGGTAATGTAGATGGCAAACGCCCTTTTGCTCTGTGTGCACATTTATATCTGTACTGTACTTCCATTTTTGAAGCCCGCGCTGTAACCGGATGAATCGTCAGGAGCACGGTGAGAGACGTGTAAGTGAGAAGGTGGCGGTGATGATGGCGGTGGTGTCTGTGGCCAGGAGGTGGTGGTGGGGCGGTGGGTATCTGGACGGGAGCGCGGCAACCGTGACGACCTGGATCTGTGAAACCCGCTGTGGGCATCGACGGGAGGCCGACTGGAGGAGACTCACAAGCCGATTTCTTCGGTGCTTTGGGCGAAACGAATTTGGCAGCATAAGCATGAGGTTTGGACGTGATACTAATCCTAACGCTGTCTATAAATGATGAGGAAACCCGGTAGGCTCTGAGTATTAATTTTAGCGATGAATCACCCTCGGGGAGAGTCAGGTTAGGACGCCACTCGCCGCTGATTTTATCCGTAGCTGGATTTCGCAATTTTTGACACGAGGCGCTTCCACCAGCAGTGCCGCGAGCAAGCACTTGGCAGAGCCGCACCTTTACGTTTTAAATTCTACTATTATTGTAAAATTATATTTGAAAAAAGTGTTGTCGATATTGTGCATTAGAATGATATCAATGGACAGTCCTGCTTTGCTTAATAAACGAAACAAATTGTGGTTTAGTTTTTTTTTTTATGGGGCCCCTCAGAAGTTTTTGGGCCCTGTACAAATGTCCCTGTGTCGCAGTGCCCCTAAATTCGGCCCTGATTGTGACAACGAACTCGATCCCCTCCCAGCATGCTTTGCATGTCACATGACATCACCTCACTGTGCATGTGTACAATGCACAACAAACCTTTAGATCACTGAGATAAATAACTAGGGCTATGTTATCATTTTTCATGATATTTTTGTTTACGTTACTGAGGATGTACGAGTCCATGCCCTCGCAGGCGTAGGGGTGGATCGCAAGTAATTGCAGAGGCTTTGGTGGGTCGGCTCGTTCTGGCTGCTGCCGGAAGATTGTATAGTAATTGTAAAATGTGGGTCATGAAGCACAAACGCTCATTATGCGATACCATCACCCGCGGGACACCCATGTGTACGTCCAACATAATCATCAGTTTTAAGGTCAACGCATCAAATTAAAACAGTCGAATTTGTACACCTGATTTGTATATTTTCTTCTCTGTTGCATACCTGCCTACAAGTGTGTACACGTGTGTGTGTAGGTGTGGTTATTTTGTGTAACATTGACACTAGTTGGGAACAGGAGTGGTGTGAAACCGCCAGTTCGTCTCGGCCTGTCGGCGCATAACACGAGGGCCTGTCCCGTGACCTCCCGGCGAAGCTGGTTATGCTTTGTACGGTGTAAAAGTGCACCGAGCCAGGCACAAGCGCTGTGGTGACGTCACCATCACTTAGACGCGAACGGCGGCTGCTGTTGTTTAGTAGCAGTGCGGTGCTTTGCGCTTTGTCCTCAGAAACTGGTGACACAAGTTCGATTCCCAACCTCGGATAGCATCGGCAACGAGTGATATCCAAACCTGTTCTGAACCTCTCCAAAGGTGACTGGGAAGTTAAATACCTACCTGTTGCTGTGTGTATACATCATCACCGGCGAGACAAAGGCGGTGAGGCGTGGTACCGGCTACACCGCATCCTCACGTGCCAATTTCTGCCTTAATAGGACAGGTGCTCGCACCAACAACAGCACTCGCCCCAGCAGTCCGTTGAAGGCTACACGGGAGGCGGATCTTTGTCTACGCGTGGCTCTGGGTGCTTAGGCGCAGGCACTTTGTCAATTTGTCGACTGCAGCCTGGCCCAGGCAAGCGCCCGGTGGGACTGCATTCCGCGCGCTGCAGCTGCCGCTTCAAAAAGATCAATCGTTGTGGGTTTCAGAGGAACAGTGTCGTCGCGAGAGACAGTACCTGGTGTAGTGGGCGTGTGTGTTTGTGTTCCCTACAAAGACAAACATCCCCCGTGTAGCCTACGTAGACTGTTGGGAACAAGTGCTGTCAGTGAGCAACTAGGTTCACGAGTGCGTGTTGTGGCCAGAACCACTCTCAACCACCTTTGCCTCTTATGTGGCTGCTTTGGAATCCCACGTGATAAGCCACTTCGATGAGCTATCATGTGTGACCAGATCACCTCTGAAAAGAGCTACATATCTCAGTGGGCTTTACCTGGTAAACAAAAGTTTATTTTTTTTGGCTAGCCTCGTGCTGATGTTAACACACCCACGTAAGGTACATACTTATTCAAGGCCGAGTCGACCTCTGGGGGTGGGGGGAGTCCCAGGACCTGTTCAGATCATCACCACAGATGTTTGCCTTTGCCAGCAATCGAACTCGCACCACTGGGTTCATAGTACGGTGCCACTCCCCGCTATGCTACCACTCCTCATAAGGTGCGGGCTAACAGCACTTGTCCCAGCATCCTGTGTACGCTATACGGGGGATCTTTGCCTCGTGTGCATGGGTGCGTGCGTGTTGGAACATCGGTGCAGATTACGTGTGCGTTCGGCAGGGAGGAGCTTTGGTCAGGGTGAGAGAGAGAGGAGGAGGAGGTCTCGCTGGCTGGTGCCAGGACCCCAGTTGGTGCAGCCCCCAACACCACCACCTCCTCCGGCTATATAGGCACCCGAGCCGTCCGCAGAGCTCACGTTAGTGCCTGAGTGCTGACGGGACCCGTCGCGCGTCCTCTGCTACTCGGCGAAATACACGCACGCACGCGCACGCACGCGCACACAGTCAACCGGTGACAACAGCCACTCCCAAGTTTACTGCCGCCTCTCTCTCCCTGCGTGACAGCCACCATGGTGAGTTGTGCCCGCACCGCCCGTCACCCCGTGGGTCTTTCTGCTGCTCTCGACGAGCTGAGACGGTGGACGTGCGTGAGCTTTTCTCGACACCCCGCGTGCGTTGCAAGTCGGCTCCGTGTGCAGGTGCCGGGTGGATTATTACAACGTGGCGTTGTCCAATGGAGGAGATTCACCCCCCCCCCCCCCGCCAGATGAATGTGGAATTTCCACCACTGGCTCCGGGCTATAAATGGGAAATTAGCACTGCCGCAATGCTCATTTCGTCAAGAAATCGCTGACTTTTCAACTTGGATTGAGAGATGGCGACGGCTTAGGGCAGTCTTCATCCAGCAGTGGATTGATCATGGCCAATGTTACGGTGTTGTAATATGTTCGTGCACTATTTTGTTAAACGAGTGTCCCGTGGTCGATGTTTTTCCCCCCTACAAACTTGCCACGTACACATTAACAGACTGAACCTGCGGAGCAAAAGAACGTTTGTAAATGATCATCTGTAACGCATTTTTTATTCCCAGCATCTGGCAAGCCTCGTGCGTTATTACTAGCTCCGTAAACTATCACGCGACATCGCAAGCGCGCGTTATGTCGTAACACTGCGCACATTCAACACTCGGGCGGCAAAGGGGCCCAAGTTGGTGGCAACTTTTCGGCTGGTGGCTCGGTGACCGATGGGAGTGGACGTTCCAATTTTTCTCTCTCTCTCGCCCTCCCACCCCCGTGGCTTTAATTGCAAACTGCTTCGTCACCGCTGAAGTTTTAACCCTTCCCTAGCCACCGGGGCAGCAGTGTTGCCGTGCCTGCTCTAGACTTCACGTGCAAGTTGACCGATCCCCCGCCCCCCATCACCACCCCCGGGACCCGATCTATATTTGGCTGGGCGAGCACGCCCTTATCAGGACGGCATACGTGGGGGTGCGCGGACCACGCGTCCTTGGGCCCCCCCCCCCAAGCCCCACACGCATGCCCCCCTCGTGCGTATATATAGGTGACTGGCTGCCTGGCAGCGGGCGTACCAATTTGTGGCCCGAATTTAGCAAGTTACCGTAAGATGATTCGTTTGGAGCAGTGGTTCTTAACCCTTACTACCTTGCACCCCTCGATCGTTAGAAAATGTATAATTTTAATACATCCGTAGGTTTGATGAAACAAAGTTGTACTTCACGTGCCCGTGCCTAATTTGTGTTTGCGATGATTTACCTTCGAAAAAAAAAATCTGCCCATGTCCCGCACCCCCCATGGTAAGGAACCACTGCTTTAGACACGCTGTTAAATCATGTGGCCGTTTCCTGCGAATGTTTGGCTTGGGTGAAGATGGGACGTTCGTTCCGAAGAGTGGTTTTTCAGGTTTGTGGCCCCGTGTCATCGGGCGTGTCACCTCGGCGCGCGCCGCCGCCGACGGCCCCTTCGCGTGCAAAACTTGTGAAGCTGTCCCCGCAGTAGCGCGTCGCGCAAGCTTGAGAAGACATTTCTCGCGGACACGCGGTGCCCCCCCCCCCCCCGTGAAATCCACGACAGGAGCTGTGTACGCTTGCTCGTTCAAAGAGGGGACATTCCGGTTTGTTTCTGAAGGCTGTTTTTTGAACGCGTTCTTTGGTGGAGTGGTGGTGCAACGGTTAGCGCCATGCACTGTGACCTGGGTGATTTTGAGCTCGATTTCCTTTTTAAATATAATCCCTCCCCAATTATTCATACATTTTGCAGTAACAGATAGCAAGTCTTTTGTTTTGATCTTGCCCTATGTTCAGTTCACCGTCCAAGGCGATGTTGTTTAAGGCCGCTTTATACATTTAAATTATTATTATTTAATTGTATAAAAGCGGTCACACCCACTTGTTTTTCGTCACCACCACAATCATCATCATCAATCAGCCATGGTCAGACCACCGCCGGATGAAGGTGACTCCCAAGCAGCCGATTAAAACATGTTGCTTATATAACCGGTCCCAACACGGCCCCACCTTCAGTGGATGTTTGATGAGTCGCGTCTGCCCTCTGTTTGGCGACGTTGAGGCGTAGCTGGTGTCCCGTCAGCCCCCTGCGAGCGCTCCCCGTGCGTTGCGTTCGTTGGAGTTTCCCCGACGTTCTGAAGTGTGTCCTTGAAGATCGAGTTGGGTTTCCTTTTTCAATCGCCCTTTAGCTTGTAACATTGAATAATAATAACACCAAAAAATCGTTGAGTATGGATTACAAAAGAAATGTATTTCATTACTATAACTTAGGTTGTATATTTCGATTTAAAGCTTTCGTGACTGCAGGGATTAACCTTCTTGGTTCTTTCATAATTATGTTTTATTTTTCATAATTATGTTTTATTTTTATTATTTTATTACTTCCCTTCTACGTGACTTTACCGAAAAAACCAAGAAGATCTTTCGGTAAAGTCACGTAGAAGGGAAATAATAAAATAATACAAATAAAATATAATAAAATAATTCTCACAGTGAGAATTGTTTTTCTCACAGTGAGAATTATTTTATTATGTTTTATTTTTATTATTTTATTATTTCCCTTCTACGTGACTTTACCGAAAGAACCAAGAAGATTAGGTTGTATATTTAACTCCTCCGGGGTTAACTTATTCAAAACTTTGTCATATACTGTATCAGCATACAAATAATAATTTCAGCCCTTTGTCAATCATAGATGAGGCCTCCCCACGCCATATCAGATATGGGTGTTGTTGTTTGACCATACTTCGCCACTTTGGTCAGTGCGGGTTGGCGAAGGCGGAACATGGGACCGGTTCACACATCACTCGCCACTGATATTAGCCGTGACTTTACCGAAAAAAAAAGAGTGAATCCTTGCAGTCACGAACACTTCAAATCTAGAATCGGGTCGCCAGGTTCATGGCGTAGTACGCTAATCCGCTGCCCCACCTCCTCCATCCCACGTAAACATTTGTGGCATTATTTTGTCTTTATAAAACATATAAATACTTCATAGACCTGTGTGGTTTTTGTATTGTATGTGTACTTGTGCACAACCTCCATTTGCACCCCCCTTTAATATTTCATTCGGCTTCATTATGAAGAAGTACGCGTGGTATAGGCAATACATCATTTATAACCTCGGGGATACTTCAAACGAGAGCTGGGACGATTCGTCCATTTTCAGTCAATGAATCTAATAAAACAATAATCAGCTTTTGTGTTCTGTGGTAGATTACTCGACCCCTTTGAAACTTAACTAAACAAAAAAAATTACCAGGTAAGGCCTGCTGAATTAAACATTGTAGCTTGTTTTCAGAAGCAACCTGGCCACAATATGATAGTTCGACAAAGTGGCTAATCGTGTGGACATTTATCGCTGCAAAATAATCTCAACACGTGTTTATAAACGTGGAAGGGGGGACAAAAAAGACGGAGGACCCGGACAAAAATCCACGCGACCACGGGGAGAGAGAGTTTATGCAAACTCCAAATATACAGCAGCAGGCGTCAGGGTCGGGGAGCAACCCCATTACCACATCCTGCCTCGCGAAAGCGGGAACCCGCCCCATACAAGACACGCTCGGAGTGGCTTAGCTGTCCATGCCTTTGACATCACCAAGCTCCACCCTCCCATCACCTCCCGTCCAGCGGCGCACGTGGGAACAGACTTGAGACTTGTTAGTTTAACACGTAGGCTTTCGCGACCAATATCCGTCAGAGGTTTTTTATGGGTTAGGGGCCGTCTATAAATGACTTCACGCGATTTTGGACGATTTTTTTACCCCCCCCCCCCCCCCCCCATTCGTCACAGCGTCACAAAAAGTCAGACCCCCCCCTCAAATATGACGTCACAAAGCTCTGCCCCCCCCCCCCAAAATAAAACATGCTTCAAATCGCTTTAAACTATTGTCATTGTAGTGCGTATTTAATGTGGCGCTGCACTCTGATGTTGTAGGAGAAAACATTTATTTAAAAGTCTATTTAATTAAGTAGAACGTGTTGTCTATATTTATTTAAAGTTGCGCATTTCGATGTGACGTCACATTTCTCACCCCCCCCTCCCCATCGTCACAAATGTCTGACCCCCCCCCTAGGTACGTGACGTCATTTATGGACGGCCCCTGAGATCCCGTTACCCAAAATACCTGTACTGTATTATGGTTGACACTTGTTGTCCGATTAGCCGAACCATCAAACTGATAATCGGTTGAGCAATCCATCGTTTCTGTACATCATCGGATTACAGCCCAGTTACGATTCAGACGATTCATAGAACGTTTCATATATACGCAGGAGAGCTTGGTAACTGGACTCAGACACGAATATTAGAGAGTAACACTCACGCACGACACAAATAGGTCGCACACTTGTTGTACTCTATAATATGTACATCAATTTTGATTTAAAGCGTTCGTGACTGCAGGGATTCATATTATTGGTTCTTTCGGTAAAGTCACGTAGAAGGGAAACGATAAAATAAAAAATATAAAACAAAATTCTCACGACGTTTCGATTGCAACGCAAGCAATCATCATCAGGTGTGGTTTTCACACCTGATGATGATTGCTTGTGTTTATATTTTTATTATTTTATTGTTTCCCTTCGACGTGACTTTACCGAAAGAACCAAGAAGATGTACATCAATGTCAAGTATTCAACAGGAAACAAACTCAGCTTCAGCAGACAGTAACAACTCGCCTCAGGCTGCCTTTGGGCACACTTCAAATTGTATTGCATACGAACATCCATAAAAAAAACCAATAACTTACATTTATAATGCTGCCATAATTGAACAAACTCATCTATTCCCATAATGACCTCTATGAACTCTATGTCGTGTGAAGAAGGGCCATTGCCCGAAACGTCGCTAACTATAATTCCTCCTAAGGCCCCCCCCTTTATTGACGTACACATTCAGTTAATTTGTTATTCTCTTTGTTATTTATTATTCCATAATGTTATTCCCATATTGTTATTTATTTCATATGATTACATATTTATTATGCCATATTTTATTCCCATATTATTATTATTTATTAGTCAATATTGTTATTCCTATATTGT